ATCTATATATCTATATAACTATATATATTTATACAGAATACACACATATACATACATACATACAAACATACATACATACATGCATACATACACATACATACATATATGTATATATAAATATATTAGACACATGACTTAAACACACAATACATCCAGATTGCTAAACAAAGCCATTAAGCCACACATACCACTTCATAGCCGCAGCCGCAACTTGTAGGACGATAGTGTTGATCAGAATGATCATATCATCCGGCGCTTCTGTGTAGTTACCAAGCACTTCGAATGCCATGTACGATATCATCAGTAAGGGTCCCGACTACGTTCATAGGTGTGGTAAAACGAAGGATTTATGATATCATCAGTACGGGTCTAGACTATGTTCATAGGTGTGGTAAAACGAATGATGCTTGATATCATCAGCAGGGGTCTAGACTACGTTCATAGATGTGGCAAAACGAAGGATGAGCCGTTAATCACAAGGTAGGGCACACTTTCGGTATATGAAGTTATCTTAGGAACTTACTGAGCAAACTAGTGAGCATCACATATACCGATGAATATATCAATATCTCAGGACGTGTATGGTCAGTTTAAGCACTTACGTACGGTATTTGGAACAGAAGAGTGTATATACACATACATATTAATATATTACTATCTCAGGACATGTATGGTCAGTTTAAGCACTCACGTACGGTATTTGGAACAGAAGAGTGTATATACACATACATATTAATATATCACTGCCTCAGGACGTATATGGTCAGTTTAAGCACTTGCGTATGATATTTGGAACAGAGGAGTGTATATAAACATACATATTAATACATCACTATCTCGGGACGTGTATGGTCAGTTTAAGCACTCACGTACGGTATTTGGAACAGAGGAGTGTATATACACATACATATTAATATATCACTATCTCAGGACATATATGGTCAGTTTAAGCACTTGCGTATGGTATTTGGAACAGAGGAGTGTATATAGGCATACATATAAATACACCACAATCCCAGAACCTACATGATCATTTGCATATGAACAGCTTCATCACTTACGAATGGCATTTGGAACAGATGAGTATAAACACACATATACATATTATTACATCACTATCTCAGGACCTACATGAATATTTGCATATGAACAGCTTCATCACTTACGAATGGCATTTGGAACAGATGAGTGTCCAGAAGTATAGAAAGGCAGAGCGCGACAGCCACGAATACCAGCCAGCCCCACCACGTCATCGCCTGCAGTGGAACATAATTGGTATAAACAATCGGGATTAGAAGCGAAAAAAAGGTATCTGCATGTGAAAATAATTGGTGTAAACAATCGGGATTAAAATGAAAAAAAGACATCTGCGTAGGAAAGTAATTGTAGAAACAATTCAGGATCGAAGTAATAAAAGCCAAAGTACGACTGGAAGCAAATCAAATGAGAAAACCCTACACTCTAAAAAACACCTAATAAGGGCAACAGAACAACAGGATAATCAATAGACAAGGCACAGACATCGATTAGGTATCAGAAAATAGAGCATCATGTCACATGATATGAATGAAGAGATAAATTGTCTCACATACAGACACATGCATGCACCAGACAGATCAATGTCCAGAGCTTATGTCCATTTGCTGGAGATAGAGTTTGGACTAGGTATGAAATCATAGACACAATTAGGAAGCTCACATACTTCACTAGCCCAATATATATATATATATATATATATATATATATATATACATAAACTTAAACATATATATAGATATAATACATATACATATAGATATAGATATAGATATATATATATATATATATTTACACACACATATATAAATATACATATATTTATATACATACATACATACATACATAAATATGTACATACATATATACATACATACATATATGATTTATATATATATATATATATATATGATTTATATATATATACGCACACACGCACACACACACACACACAC